TCCACACATAAATCTGATACAATGTCATCCACACAAATAAACCTGATCCACAAACCTGATACAATGTCATCCACACATAAATCTGATACAATGTCATCCACACATAAATCTGATACAATGTCATCCACACATATAATATCTGATACAAAATGTACATCCATCCACACATAAATCTGATACAATGTCATCCACACATAAATCTGATACAATGTCATCCACACATAAATCTGATACAATGTCATCCACACATAAATCTGATACAATGTCATCCACACATAAATCTGATACAATGTCATCCACACATAAATCTGATACAATGTCAACCACACATAAATCTGATACAATGTCATCCACATGGCTTATCTAAGATTGTCATGAGGAAGTGCGGCAGGAGTCAGATACCTGCCACCGTAGACGCCGAGATTAGGACACTGACTGACCAGCAGTCACGTCCAGAGAGACGTCGTCATTGACACAGATGGATCCGTGAAGCGCAGGTCAAGATCGGCATGTGCATACACCGCACACAGGATGGGGAAAACAAGAAAAGAGGATAGTGGCGCTTACAAGACAACTACGTTAATCACTGACTATGGAGACATTTACTGTTTGCCATCGCATGAGTAGCAGAACAAACGGCCACACATGCTGTAATCGTTTCAGAATCCATAACAAGCTAATGCGATTGCGTGGCCTAGTGGTTAATCTTTATGAAGCATGTCTCTACCGTCTCTGGGATCAAGACTGGAGATACTACAACCAAATACATAAAACATGAACATAACACTGAGAGAAATCCACCAACACACGAACATAAAACTGACACAAATCCATCCACAACACAAAAACACAACACTGACCTAAATACATCAACATATGAACACAACATTCACACAAATAGATAACCACATGAACATAACACTTACATACATACACCAACACATGAACATAACACTGACAGAAACACATCAAAATTATTTTAACCCGTAAAAACGGCATAACATATTATGTTCACTCTTGCTCTCTCTCTCACACACACACACACACACACAAAGACACAGACACACACACAGAGACACAGACGTATATACATACTATGATCTGCAGCTGGTCCAGTCTCGTAAAGGCGGAGGATCTGGACAATGAAAGCTACTTCCACTGACATCGTTGTTAGAGAATGTTTATGAACTTGTGTCAGTGTTCATACAATAACATAAGCACAACACACTCACTCAGCACATATGTTCACAAACAAGACGCTCATTTACACCAATTACAGATACATACAATACTTTAATAGGCAGACATGAACTTTCTCTCTCGCTCTCTCACACGCATACACACACACAAACCCACAATACTTCCACATATGGACACGAACCCTCTCCCCTCTCTCTGTTTCTTTGGCACACACATACTCACAATGCTCTCACACATGGACACGAACCCTCTCCCCTCTCTGTTTCTTTGGCACACACATACTCACAATGCTTTCACATATGGACACGAACCCTCTCCCCTCTCTCTTTCTCCCTGTTTCTTTGGCACACACATACTCACAATGCTTTCACATATGGACACGAACCCTCTCCCCTCTCTCTTTCTCCCTGTTTCTTTGGCACACACATACTCACAATGCTTTCACATGTGGACACGAACCCTCTCCCATCTCTCATTCTCTCTGTTTCTTTGGCACACACATACTCACAATGCTTTCACATATGGACACGAACCCTCTCCCCTCTCTCTTTCTCCCTGTTTCTTTGGCACACACATACTCACAATGCTTTCACATGTGGACACGAACCCTCTCCCCTCTCTCATTCTCTCTGTTTCTTTGGCACACACATACTCACAATGCTTTCACATATGGACACGAACCCTCTCCCCTCTCTTTCTCCCTATTTCTTTGGCACACACATACTCACAATGCTTTCACATGTGGATCCGAACCCTCTCCCCTCTCTCATTCTCTCTGTTTCTTTGGCACACACATACTCACAATGCTTTCACATATGGACACGAACCCTCTCCCCTCTCTCTTTCTCCCTGTTTCTTTGGCACACACATACTCACAATGCTTTCACATATGGACACGAACCCTCTCCCCTCTCTCTTTCTCCCTGTTTCTTTGGCACACACATACTCACAATGATTTCACATGTGGACACGAACCCTCTCCCCTCTCTCATTCTCTCTGTTTCTTTGGCACATACATACTCACAATACTTCCACATGTGGACATGAACTATCTCCACTCCCCCTCTTCTCTCTATCCTCCCCCCTGTTTCCGCCCCTTATGACAATTCTAACTGCTCTAACGGCACACAAGTGAATAACGTATTCTGGGTTCATTCCCCTGAAGTGACATGAATTGTTTTCAACCAGGGGTTAACCATGTCTCTACTTTTGGTGGGGACGCTTGTGTTTCTCAGTGAATCTAGGAGCTATGTTGGCGTTGATATAGTTACCAGCAGAACCTCCCAATCCTGACAGGTCAATGAGCAGAGAAACGACAAAGAAGAGATACCCTGGCACTTCAGACTGGAGGCTGAAGCGGGGAAATGAGACCCCTACCTTTGTAAACGCTCATTTCGCCATGAAACAGAAAAATGGGCATACAAAAGGATTGAATGGAAGTTAGTTAACGAGGCAGACAAGGAGGTAATAATGTACACACAGACCTACGAAACCGTGGAGCCACCAACTGGAATGAGAAGACCGATCACAGAGATGAATGGCAGTGGGTAATGCCTGCAGCAGTGAACCTCATGGGCTCTGTATGCTAAAGAAAAGGGAGGGTCAATCATGGCCAGCTAAAGGGATCTCTATAGTTGGCTGTGGGTCAACCCAGCCTAATAAAAATGATTAGCAGGCTATTTCTAGAACTGTCTGAAAAAGAAAGGCCACAAAGCAGTGTAGTGGTCCATTGTCCTAGAATGTGTTAACACTGGATACCTCCCATCTAATGGCAGCCTCGGGACTAATTATTATCTGATGATGATGTTTGTGAATAAATTTAGCTGAGTGGTTAGAGTGCTGAGTTGTAACCATTAGTAAGGGATGGAGATTTTTCCGGTTAAGGTAAAAATTAAAATCCTAACTGGTATTGCTTGTGGCGGCTGAACAATTCATTCGGCCTTTAATTCATAGGTTCTAGAGCCCCCGGTCTGTTTTTGAATAATGAGACAGATAATCAGGTGAAAATGATGGGACTCCTGTGAGTGACAGACTTCAGTGTTCAGTGTTAAAAAAATGTACACTGATTTTGTGCAAGTTGCTTGAAGCCTATTATGAAAATGTAGACTGATTTTGTGCAAGTTGCTTGAAGCCTATTATGAAAATGTAGACTGATTTTGTGCAAGTTGCTTGAAGACTATACTTCATTGAAAATTAAGGTAGGGGGGGGGGGGGCAAATATATGTGTTTAAATGATTGAATAGGCTTGAAATTCTCAGTCATGGCGACAGCTCTATTTTGTGTGATGATACTATGAAGTCACAATACACAGAACATGAAAAACACATCTGTCCTCCTTTTCCCTATTTCCTTTTGTCACTGCAGGTATTGAAATGGATTAAGTTCATATTGCTACTCTTCTAGCCATCCTGACACTTGTTACTGTTATTCAGTTTAATCCCTCTCTTTGTCTGCTTTGGTAAGGCACTAAATTGCATTATGTCTGTCTTTATATTTCTCTGCTGAACGTTTTACGACTTTATTCCTGCTGTTTCTCCCCTGTTCCTTTTCGCAGCCCTTCTCTGACATCCTCCACCATAAAGAATATAATATATTTATCCCTTCAAAAATACACACATACCACCAAACAGATACAACCATACACATGTACATACAAATCACACATATTCAAACACATAATACAACCTCGCACATACAACCATACACAATGAACCACCCACAGACAAACTAATATTTACCACAACACCCATACAAATACAAATACACATACAAATACACATACAAATACACATACCACCAGCTCATACAAACACGCACATACAACCACAAACATACAAACACATGCAAAGATATTATATATATATATATATATATATATATATATATATATATATATATATATATATATATATATATACACACACACACATATAGCGCAGTCGATAGGAGACTTGCTTTTAAATACAGCTGCGACCCGCTGCAGTCCACGGCCGGTTTGAAACCGGGCGGTTTCCGAGGTTCACCTAGCCTCTAGGTAATGGGTACTGCAACACAGGCCGACAGTGTCTTATCAGCTGTCCGTATTGGTGGCAGAGCACTTATGGTTTATAACCGCTTACAGACACACACACACAAAACACTCACACAACACGCATTCAAACACACACATGTACAACCACTCAACCATTGTAGGCGCCAACATTAACACATGCTTGTGACCAACTCTGTCAAGGATACGTACAATAGCTTGCTGCCTTACACTCGGCAACATTGCTGGGCGAGCACTGTGTGTTTACTGCAGCCATGGAACAGTTCTGGCAGCAGTCTTTGTTCTTATCACTGTAAACAATGGCAAACTGATTATCTAACATTTGAAACCACAACCAATTTCTAACCCACGCAGGGCTGTCTAGTTAGGCTGGTTAGGTTGGTCTCAATGATTCCGATCCGTCAGATTAATTACCAGCTTGAGAATGAGAAACAAACACTCTGCCTGTCAACATCAGATTTCGAAGAGGTTTCGGGTGACAAGCCTCGGTATGTGACAGCGATGCTGTATTTATGGCCTGATTGATCTGTTCTCTCTTGGCCTAGTTTAGTGTTGGCCCCGTCCTTATTTTATCATTTCCGATCCTGTTTCTTCTAGATTGTTATTCAAACTGGAACAAACTCCCAGAAATCCTCCTCAGCCGTGTACAAGTTATGTAGGTGCATTAGGGCACCGCTGCAGTGACAGAGTAACCTACAGTGAAATATGGAAAAGGGGAGAGGGGGCGGGAAACAGGACTGTCAGCTATGCTATAGTTCGTTTCAGAAGTATTACCCAACGAAAAAAAAATTTGTAACTCAGTGGAAAGTTGAAATTTGGCATGCACCCTGTTAATAATCATCTCATTGTAAAACATCTTTAAAACAAACACCAATTCGAAAAAAAAAAAAAAAAACACAAACATTACACTTACAGTTAATTGTAACGGAAACCTTTCTAAACAGCAACTTGTAGGCACTTAAAACGGCATTTCACTCTCATGTAATCATTTCCGGAATAAACCTTCCGTGAGTTACATAAAAACAATGTTTTTTGTATTCGGGCTATCAAAATAATCACCATGCATCGTTTCACATGTGAACTGATTTCCAAACCATCTGCATGCGTATGTAATTTACTGTGTATTTTTCTTTCTTCCATTTTTTAAGGGGTATACAAATTATTAGTCAAACAAAGATCTAAGAAAAACGCCACTTTGAGAAAACAGCAGCACTTGTGCAATTATAACAACAGACATGTTAAATTTAGTGCCACATGCAAACATTTCTTTGGATCCGTAAAGTAGCTGTCGAGATATTTAAAATATGAGGGCACGACTTTTAAAACACACTATAATGATTGTACATAGTGTGGCTGCTAGGGGGACTGAGTTATAACTTCTTTGCATGTTGAACTCAGTATATGAGATTTACCCTATTTGACTGATAACTGGGATGTGGTTTTTTGAATCACGGGTGTGCGAAACCTTCAGATAGCAGCCCAAAGGGGGAAGAAATGAGTCGCTGACTTTCATTTGCTGCTGCATGGGTATCACTGAGTCTAAGATAGTGCTTTTCAGGACATAATGTTTAGAAATTGGAGGGATGGTGGTTGTATCAGACTTGTATAATCCCTATGTGAGTTTCCTGGTCCTATTCAGGAGAGAATAAGGAGAACAGAACCGCTGCCACTGAAATTCAGGCCATAAAAGGTGAATAAATACGACTTTGCTGGCAAACGGATGTGATGGATCGAAAGGGACAGATATCACATACTAGTTGTTTATAACATGATGAACCGACTATCTTTTCAAAGGACGAATGCAGAAGAAGAGAATCTTCTAACACAGGACAAGACAAATCCTCATTATCATTAAGCAGGAGGTCTTGTGCAGAATGTTGCTGCCTTAAAGCCCATTAGCTAACTCCTTGCCGATTTCCTCTCTCAAGTATTTTCCTGTCCAAAATGTCTAGAATGTCCTGTTAACTTCTTACTTCCCTTTGCACCTTAAACCAGTTTATGATGTTTCACTCGCTACTCTAACAGCTGCTTGTTGTTCAGGATCTACTGTTTCAACACTGTATAGATTACACGCGTAGGAAATCCAATTTTTCTCTTATATTTCACAACCTTAGATGCTGAACACAGTCTAATGTCTTTCTGTAATGAACCAAACAGGTATGCATTTCTATCTAAATTGTACTTTTTGCATTTCTCAAAGATGGTTGTCATGTCGAAAGGGTTTCCTGGTTCCTCTGCCCTGTCTAAAAAAAAAAAAAAAAAATTACAAAAAAACGACCGAGACAACTAGAAAAGGAAAACAAATGTAAAAAATAGAAAACGAATATATTGTGAGAGGATATCTTCTGCCCTCTATCGCCCAGTAGAAGACAGGTCCCTAACAAACTTACTCTAAGCCGTCCAATCGTTTGCTATCACATGCAGCTTATCCCTTTTTTTCCCACTCCACTTTCTAGCTACCAGCTCTATGTCTTTGTGGTCTGCCTTATCTCTATGCCCGTGCGGGTTTGATGAGATTTCAGCAATGTCATGTATGGGCGTGATTTCAGCAATGTCATGTATGGGCGAGATTTCAGCAATGTCATGTATGGGCGAGATTTCAGCAATGTCATGTATGGGCGTGATTTCAGCAATGTCATGTATGGGCGAGATTTCAGCAATGTCATGTATGGGCGAGATTTCAGCAATGTCATGTATGGGCGAGATTTCAGCAATGTCATGTATGGGCGAGATTTCAGCAATGTCATGTATGGGCGAGATTTCAGCAATGTCATGTATGGGCGTGATTTCTAGTGCAGTCAACAGAGAGCACTCTCTGGTGTAGCCAGGAATACTTGCCTGTACTTTGGTAACACATTACAGAGATTTGATTCTGGCCAGATAAGATGCTCTGCAGGTCAATGCAAGCAATAACAGATATACATGATGATCTTCTCTTCTTCTTCGCTTGCTCTTGAAAGGGTGGCTGGCACGTTATGTTGTGGTTTACACACAGGCTGTGATATCTGCACGCTTCATCCCAACACATTCAGTTTCAGCAAATTCTTGATTAGATACCTTTTACAACAAGGTGTTAAGGAACAGTTGGCCTGTTCTTCCCCCCCCCCCCCTCCTCCCCCCCAAATCCCACAGGGGGAGCAAGAATATCAACACATGACACACTAAGAAAGTAACTCACCTACAAAATGCATGTTTCCTCAGCTTGCAGTCAAATGTGCAGCATTTGTCTTTATTAATAACTCCATAAATACCAGCGTCACAGACCTCATCTTTTTCAACAACACCATTACCACAGAAGGAAGGCACTAGATGCATGTCTAGATAACATCACAACATCATTACCACAGAAGGAAGGCACTAGATGCATGTCTAGATAATATCACAACATCATTACCACAGAAGGAAGGCACTAGATGCATGTCTAGATAACAACACAACATCATTACCACAGAAGGAAGGCACTAGATGCATGTTTAGATAGTAATACAACATCATTCCCACAGAAGGAAGGCACTAGATGCATGTCTAGATAACATCACAACATCATTACCACAGAAGGAAGGCACTAGATGCATGTCTAGATAACATCACAACATCATTACCACAGAAGGAAGGCACTAAATCCATGTATAGATAACATCACAACATCATTACCACAGAAGGAAGGCACTAGATGCATGTCTAGATAACAATACAACATCATTACCACAGAAGAAAGGCACTAAATCCATGTATAGATAACAACACAACATCATTACCACAGAAGGAAGGCACTAGATGCATGTCTAGATAACATCACAACATCATTACCACAGAAGGAAGGCACTAGATGCATGTCTAGATAACAATACAACATCATTACCACAGAAGGAAGGCCCTAGATGAATGTCTAGATAACAACACAACATCATTACCACAGAAGGAAGGCACTAGATGCATGTCTAGATAACATCACAACATCATTACCACAGAAGGAAGGCACTAAATCCATGTATAGATAACATCACAACATCATTACCACAGAAGGAAGGCACTAGATGCATGTCTAGATAACATCACAACATCATTACCACAGAAGGAAGGCACTAAATCCATGTATAGATAAATAACACAACACCATTACCACAGAAGGAAGGCACTAGATGCATGTCTAGATAACATCACATCATTACCACAGAAAGAGGGCACTAGATGCATGTATAGATAACAATACAACATCATTACCACAGAAGGAAGGCACTAAATCCATGTACAGATAAATACCACCACAACGCCATTACCACAGAAAGAGGGCAATAAATCCATGTCTAGATAACAACACAACACCATTACCACAGAAAGAAGGCAATAAATCCATGTCTAGATAACAATACAACATCATTACCACAGAAGAAAGGCACTAGATGCATGTATAGATAACATCACAACACCATTACCACAGAAAGAGGGCACTAAATCCATGTCTAAATAACATATGGTCTTATCTAAGTAGACTTAACTGCCCGGGTAACATGTCGAATTATCAGCTGTCACTGCCGCCTGTATTTACTACATCTGTGGTGCAGACAGGGGGTCTCTAAGGGACTAGTGCAGTCGCTATGAACTGTGCAGGCTAAGATTTAATTTGTGCCTCTAGCAGAAAATGCCATAACATTACAGAGGATTTGAACCTGGGTCTCTTGCATACGAGCTTATCATTCTTAACCTTTCAGCCATTTGCTCCACCTTGATAGGATGTAATTATATTTTGTTTAAATCACATTTCGAAAAATACGCTATCATATATATATATATATATATATATATATATATATATATATATATATATATATATATATATATATAGGAGGGGGTCTCCATGGCGAAATCGTTCAGTAAGCGAGTGTATTTATTACCAGATACATAGGGACCTTCGCCGGAGATATGCAGTTCGTGCTTTGTGTGACGCTTTTGGCAAAAGGTTAGCCGTTCAGCGGTGAAAGACTGAGCCATATGGGATTTTTTTTTAAACCAGTGCAATGAATGAACTCGATCGTCTCGACTTTGACCCTTTTTTTTTTAAACTTTCATCTTTTATCAACAATCTTTTTTTTTTTCTAGGTAACACTCATAACTGTAATAGGTCCTGTACAGAACATGACTCTTAATACAGTCGACAAGATGGGCTTTCATTGGCCAGCTACTGATCTGAGTGCTTCATGGGGCACTGTGATCTGTGGATTTTGTGTCGGATACTTTGCATCTGCGCTCAGTGTGGCTTGTGTTGTGTACTGCATATTCAGGAAATGGCAGGTGACTGATTGCCTCAGAAGTCGAAGTTTGTCTTGCGCAGTAATGAACACATCCTCCAATGAACGTAAAATTGTGACGAAGGAGATTAAATTCCTTAGAAGAGCTGCAGGAAATCAGATGAATGTTAGGAATAAAGCCAGTCTTACAGGTCATCAAAGAACAACAAATGAAGTGGTTTGGACACCAAACAAGAATGCCCTGGAACTATCTGCCACAGTGAGCCACACTAAAACGTTACAACGGCTATAGAACGAGTGGAAGACCTCGGAAAATATGGAGTGATGGCATTAGGAACAGCCTTACAGAAATGAACATCAGTCTTAATAGTGCTCTTGACAGAGCTCATCAACGAACGTTACATCTTCCCCCGACACTTCGATGAGTTACAAGGTGGAAGAAAAGAAGAAGAAGAAGAAGAAGAAGAAGAAGAAGAAGAAGAAGAAGAAGAAGAAGAAGAAGAAGAAGAAGAAGAAGAAGAAGAAGAAGAAGAAGAAGAAGAAGAAGAAGAAGAAGAAGAAGAAGAAGTAATTTAACACATGTTCAACGGCTGGTTTGTCACGACTGCAGCTTTTACCAACAGTGTACTGTAATTCTAAGTTCAGGACGCTGTCGGTATTGGCATCTCGGAGAGCTGTCTTATATATTCATGCATGTGCATACTGTTGGCCTTGTTGGTTGGGAACCTATTTCTTGGATGACCAAAGAGATAGATTTGTGCTTTATTAATATCAGGAGAAATCCACAGGTCACGGGACAGTCTAATATTTCAGGGGGGTGGTAGATAGGCCGCATGCAGTCGTGGGACCTAGGCTTCACTCTCTCGTGGGACGTAGGTGTGTTAGGGCCAGTTATAGATGTTTTGGGATCGTTAAAAGCATCAGAAAGCCGGGAAACCCAGTCTGAACACTTTCTAAAATGTTGACGTCATCTGGGGTAGGATATTAAAAAAGCACAGATAGTTTTTAGCTTGTGCCCTGGTACTAGTGCACCACGTGTTTTCTGTTTTAAGAATTATAACATTTTAAATGTCTGTCCAAACACATCTGCCAGCCTCTGGCAATCCAGTTTCCTGTTTAAAAGTGGTATTATTAAGGTTTAAATGTCTTTCCCACACATCTGCCAGCCTCTGGCAAACCCAGTTTCCTTTTTAAAGTACGTATTATTATGTTTGAAATGTCTGTCAAATAACACATTGACCAGTCTCTGATTCCGCTTTCAGAAATCATAATATCCATTACCGATGTTTTAATAGCAGTGGTGTTTACTACGGTAAAGAAGTATATCAGTTTATGGTAAATGGTGCTCCTTAAGAGTGATAACTGGGATGTGTATACCCCTGTGTATACCCCTGTGTGTACCCCTGTGTGTACCCCTGTGTGTACCCCTGTGTGTACCCCTGTGTGTACCCCTGTGTGTACCCCTGTGTGTACCCCTGTGTATACCCCTGTGTATACCCCTGTGTATACCCCTGTGTATACCCCTGTGTATACCCCTGTGTGTACCCCTGTGTGTACCCCTGTGTGTACCCCTGTGTATACCCCTGTGTATACCCCTGTGTATACCCCTGTGTATACCCCTGTGTGTACCCCTGTGTGTACCCCTGTGTATACCCCTGTGTATACCCCTGTGTATACCCCTGTGTATACCCCTGTGTATACCCCTGTGTATACCCCTTAATGTGATTTTTTTTAGTGCTCACCAGCTGTAAACTCTGGCGGAGAGTTCTGGTTGTTTGTCCACCTCTGGAATTTAGTCTTGTTCCAGAACCTGAGTGTTGTTTGCACATCAGGTTTACAAATATGGCTTATCTGTATGCAGACTGTTGATTCCTTGCCTCTCAGGCAGATGCACTCTCTTCGAATAAAGCTCCCATATTAGTCGACGCTTAGGACATGCTTGTTGGGGCCCGAGAATCTGATAAAGTCTTTTTTTTTAATTTCTTTTTCTTGATTCATATCTCGACAAGGAAAATATAATTTTGTTAAACAAGCTCACGATGGTGTTTGCACAGATAAAGTTTTCCACTAACTACTATTATTCTGAAGTTAACATAAGACGGTTCTCACAAACTTTTTTTTTTTTTTAAAGTGAACATAAATATGTGACCAATAACTGGCATTTTCTATATTTAACAGAATATGGTTCGCTAACTGGTATTTTTCTGAAGTTAGCACAATACTGTTCCCCCTAACTGGTATTTTTATAAAGTTAAAACAATAGGGTTCCCACAGCTGATTTTTTGTTTGTTTGTTTGGGTAATGAATTTAAAATAATATAGTACTTACTCTTAAAGCATGTGTTGTCATGTATATAATTACCAATCAATCTCAATGAGCAGGGCGAGAATTTCTGAAGAATCAAACATTTAAAAATCGGCATACAATTACCTCGTATTGATACTTCAATAATGTTAATGTATGGGCTCAACTGTTGTTTTTTTTTAAACCATATATTTGATATGTACAAGTAAAGGGACCCTTTCTGTGCGAGTGGCACATCAGGCACATGATGGATGATGTGGTTTACATCCTGCAGGCATTTCTTCTTCTTCTTCTGAGCATTTACCGGCTGGAAATTCTGCTGGAAAGTTGTGGCTGTTCGTCCACTTCTGGACTCTAATAACATAACGTGCCCATTTGTTTTACACATCTGGTTAATTTGTTTTCACAGTGCTGGTTAGTTGCCCTTCAGGCAGATCCACACCGACTTCGAAGGAGACAAGCAATGTTTTTTTAGCCTACGCTTGCTAGGGAGGCAGTGGGTCTATTCTCCCCCCCCCCCCCAGACTGACAATGGGCCCTGGAGCCCATACGGGGAATGTGGATATACAATTCCAGCATACAGCTCTATTCACATTCAACGGATCACCTCACTGTGTATAACAGTAAGTGCACTGATCCCCTTCTTCGTATATCCCTCTGATTGTAATGACTGACAGTCAGTATTGCGTGGAAATTATCGCTGAGGAAAGCAAGACTCTCGTAAATAGTCACAGTAATCTAGTACCTACAAACCTACAGATA